ACCTGAGAGCGGGGCTCCTCTCATGGGGGGTTCACTGTGGGCCCTGGACTGCGCCGGGGGTTCAGTTATACTGAATTCAGTATAAGTCTCTTAGCAAACGGTGTATTATGGATTCTATTGATTTGCGTCTTTTAAAAACTGATACTATGGCCTTGTTCGTGATATTAGTCTAGGTCAAACTGCAACCCGTGGAATTTTTTTTAACCAGTAAAAACTTGAACATTTTTCTTACTGCCCTTGCCTTTAAGAAATAAATGTTTTTGGGGGACATGCAGTTGCTTGGCGTAAGAGAAGCGCAGTCTCTTGGTGGCCATTCTGGAGATAAGAAGATTTTTATGATACAAGAATTAATTACATCGGGCGCCTGGGTGGCTCAGTCGGTTAAGCGTCTGCCTTCGGCTCAGGTCATGATCCCAGGGTCCTGGGATGGAGCCCCACATCGGGCTCCCTGCTCCGCGGAAATCCTCCCTCTGCCCCTCCCCCTGCTTGTGCTTTCTCCCTCTCATTCACTCACTCTCTCAAATAATTAAATAAAATCTTAAAAAGAAAAGTAAAGAATTGATTACATCAACCCCTGGCAAACCTCATCTTGGATTGCTCTCGAGTGTGAATCTCATGTTCTCGCCTGGGCTTGGGACTTGTTGGAGCACCTTTTACCTGGCTTCTCCCCCTCCTTTTTTAATTTTAATTTAATTTTTATTTTTTTTTAGATTTTATTTACTTGGAGAGAGAGAGAGAGAAAGAGAGTGAGTGGGAGGGAGAGGAAGAGACAATCTGAGGTAGACTCCATGCTGAGTGCAGAGCCTGACATGGGGCTTGATCTCATGACCTTGAGATCATGACCTGATTCGAAACCAAGAGTTGGACGCTCAGTTGACTGGACCACCCAGGTGCCCCCTCCCGCTCCTTTTTTTTTTTTTTTTTTTTTACAAACAGCTTTGAGATATAATTCACAGACCATACAGTTCATCTATTTAAAGTGTACATTTCCATGGTATTGGGTATACTTACCTATATATGCAGTTGTCACCACAGTCAACTTAGGAACATTTTCATCACCTTGAAAAGAAACCCCGTATCCTAAAGCATTCGACTCCATCCCTCTATCTCTATCTCTGTCCTGGCCCTAAGCAAACAATAATCTACTTTGTGTCTCGATAGATTTCCCTATTTCCTGGATTCTTTTTTTTTTTTTTTAAGATTTTATTTATTTATTTGACAGAGAGACACAGCGAGAGAGGGAACACAAGCAGGGGGAGTGTGAGAGGGAGAGGCAGGCTTCCCGCGGAGCAGGGAGCCCGATGCGGGGCTCAATCCCAGGACCCCGGGATCATGACCTGAGCCGAAGGCAGACGCTTAACGACTGAGCCACCCAGGCGCCCCCCTATTTCCTGGATTCTTAAGAAAAGCTGTTCTTTGGCTCTGCTTTGCCTCACTGACTTTTCCCTGTCTCCCATCATGTCTGGCTGAGCCTGACGCCGCAAAGTCATTGACTTCTAGAAAATACTTCGCTTGCCTTGAAGGGGTTCCTTTTGCTTCCTTCCTTGAGCTCTTGCTTCAGAGAGATCGTATATTCCTTTACTGTTTTCAGGTCATTGCCTCAGTGTTTGTTGGACTAATCTGCTTCCGACCAAATTTTTCTGAAATGTATTTTTCATCAGCTCATTTGTTAGTTCTGTTACGTTCTGTTGTCCTCCTTATTTTGTCTGCATCTGTCCCTCTCTGATTGTTACCCATCTTTCCACGGCTCTGTTTCTGTCGACTTCACGAAGAATAGTGTTGTCAGGAAAGGCCAGACATTTCAGTAAAAGTAGGTTGCTAGTGATCATAACGATTGGATGCTACTGATCATTAATATAATAATATTTTTATTAACATGGAAAGATTCCACGGTATTTTTAAACTAGAAAAGGTGTGTAGATGCATCTGTTTCTTTTCCATCTACCAAAAATAGTTTGACAGAAACATATTGTTATTGCTTGAAGATGATTTTCATTTTCTTCCTTAAAATTTTTTGAATAGTCATAACTTTAAAAAAAAATAAGGAGAGTTTACTTTGACTATAAAAAATGGTACTGTTGACACCATTTAAAAAAATATACTGCGCTGAAAAGGAAATAGAACTTTTCTCCTTTTCCTTTTCATTGGAGGTGTATGGTGGGATATGTAGGCTCTTTATGATGAAAACATTTACGAGGGACACCTGGGTGGCTCAGACAGTTAAGCGTCTGCCTTCGGCTCAGGTCATGGTCCCAGGGTCCTGGGATCGAGCCCCACATTGGGCCTCTGCTCAGCAGGGAGCCTGCTTCCCCTCTCCCCAACCCCTCCCCTCACTCATGCTCTCTCTCTCAAATCAATAAATAAAATCTTAAAAAAAAATAAAACATTTACAAACGACTGACTTGGTACGCTTTACTGAGCGTAAGGGTCTTTGGGTTTTGTATTGGCTCAAATCAGAATTGGACCCCATGCAAATAAGTCTGTGTTTAGTTCATTGTTATGAAAGAAGCCACCCTGGCCGTAAAGGGTTAAAACAAAATGTCCAACAATAACCCTCTACCACCTATGGGTCTAAAACAAAGGGATGATTTATTTATTTGTTTATCTGAGAGGGGGGAGAGAGAGTGCAAGCGGAGGGGCAGAGGGAGAGGGAGAGGATCTCAAGCAGACTCCCCACTCAGCCCTGAGCCCGATGGGCTGAGATCCTGACCTGAGCCGAAATCAAGAGTCAGACACTCAACCAACTGAGCCACCCAGGCGCCCCTAAAACAAAGGGATTAAAAACATCTGCTTTCTCTTTAAACTGTAAATCTCAACACCGAGCTCAGTATGAGGATTGTTAATGTCTTCTTGTCTGTGTTTTCCGGAGAGACTTAGATACCTGCTTGCTTGAGTATGACCGGGTTACGTCATAGGTCCCTGGAGGAAGACCTCCATCTACAAGGCCGCGTGCTGCCACCTCGTGGACCCTCTGTGTATTGCAGTTCCCCTCAGAATTTTTAAACTAGAGTGGACTCTGAAGGTGAGGCAATAGAATATACATAAAACTGTGACTCTAAGTCACAAAACCCCAGTGTCACAGGGAAATAAACTTAGGCCCACGATAACTGACTAACCTACCCAGAAGTGCCTAGCTAGTCAGTGACAGGCCTTGCCTTCCTACAAACTGTGAGCAGCCCCAAGCCTTTGCTTTCTTTGTATTTCCTTCTCATTCCGCCCCGCTTCTAAATCACGTCTGCCGTCTTGGATCAGGACAAATACCATCTCTTATGTGAAAGACTTCCCTGTTGGTTACACGTGGTCTGGATTTTTCCCTACCCAGTGCTCTCTCCTTATTTTGCTTTTCACAGAAGACACGGAACTACTTTTTTTTTTTTTTTTTTGAAAATTACTTATTTATTACATTATTCCAGGTGGGACCCATGTAGACCACCTCTTATAATTCGTGATTCACCTCCCGGCTCTATAACTGTGCTGCTCTGTATGCATTAATATCACAGGATTATCTCCCTTAATCCTCACAACGATCCTAAGACGTTATTATTATTATGATTATTTCCATTCTTGGTATTTCCATGCTCGGATGTGAACCTGTTGGTGAGACTCCAGAGCCCATACTCTTAACTGCTTACACCCGGTTATCCTGGACATACTTCACCTTAGACCACCTGTTGCTAATGATTTCCTGTAGGGATGAGTTCCCGGAGTGTCCTGCGCACTCCCGATCACCGTGTTTTCTGAACGTGCCTGATGAAGATCGCTGATGAAAAAAATTTAAGGGGCGCCTGGGTGGCTCAGCCCGTTAAGCGGCTGCCTTCGGCTCAGGTCATGATCTTGGGGTCCTGGGATCGAGCCCCACATCCGGCTCCCTGCTCAGCGGAGAGCCTGTTTCTCCCTCTCCATCTGCCTGCCACTCTGCCTACTTGTGCTCTCTCTCTCTCTGTCAAATAAATAAATAAAGTCAAAAAAAATTTAAGGGGTGCTTCTGAGAAGATTTTGATTCCTAGGGTTTGGGTAGGGCCCAGGAATCTGCATCTGTAATCAGCACCCCTCCTGGTTACATCTGGGATTCTGTCTTATTTAACGCTCATCGGAGTTCATTGTGACTCCTGTTTTTCAGTGTCTTCACGGAGCCATAAAAATCCACGAGGAAAGGGGTCCCGTGGCCACTCTGTCCCCACCCAGCATCAAATACCATGTGACACACGGATGCACACACCATTGGCTGAAGGAACAGCATCTGTTTTAATCCCCAACTTGATTATAAGCTCCTTGTGGTCAGATGACCTTGGAGTCCACTGGTTTTGGCTTGGTTCCCCGTTTGGCTGCTGGGGTAAAAGGGTGACGCTTGGGTAGACCAGGGAGTTTCAAGACTGGAAGGGACCTCGGGGCTCATTGCTTCTTCCACACTGACTTTATTATTATTTTTTTTAAATATTTTTTATTTATTTATTTGACAGAGAGAGACACAGCGAGAGGGGGAACACAAGCAGGGGGAGTGGGAGAGGGAGAAGCAGACTCCCCGCCGAGCAGGGAGCCCGATGCGGGGCTCGATCCCAGGACCCTGGGATCATGACCTGAGCCGAAGGCAGACGCTCAAGAACTGAGCCCCCCAGGCGCCCCCACACTGACTTTAGAGATGAGGACTTTCAGATGGGATCTGCCTTCTACACGATCACACACTTTCGTGGGGACCACACAGGAGAAAGTGTGGCTGAGTAAAAGGCACCTTTCAAATATCCTTATTGTCTTGATTTCATGTTTCCTACACATTTATTTATTATTCATTTATTTATTTTAAAATACTTATTTATTTGAGGGGGGGAGGGGCAGAGGGAGAAGGAGAGAGAGAATCCAAAGTAGGCCTCATGCTCAGCACAGAACCCCCGAGGGGCTCGGTCCCACGACAGCAAGATCCTGACCTGAGCCAAAACCAA